TGCCATATGAGACCTGGAGGAGTGAAAGGCATATGAGAAGGAGTTGATGTAGTTCCTCCATCCCCTTTATATTGAATTTTGCGAGACCTCTCCTATGTTGAAGTTTGACTCCTGGTGGTCCTGCGTATTTCCCTTTCGTTGGGTACAGGGAAGCGAGTCTCAACGTCTGCATGTTGCTCCATATACTCAGCAGCTGTGCCCTCATTAATGACAATCTCAGAAGGCATCCCGGGCTAACAACAATGCATTTGAAAACATTTAAAAATGAAGTTATAACTTGTGTAATTAAAGTGTCTAAGCATACAAGTATTACCCACATTGTACACTGTCCTTCCACTGTCCAAGTCAACTCTAAGTCCCATTCCACTCTCTGTCCTATTCTTATAAAATGCCCTTTCCCCACGTGGTCTTGAAGTAGCTTGAGACTCTTGAGTAGGAGCTTCACTCTGACTACTCCTCAACCTTTTTGGTCTTGGTGTTTTGAGACTAGATTGTGGTTTCTGTTATAATAAATATCAATGCAAAAAGTGTTAGATGGTTATGATAAAGTAATTAGCTAAAGAGTATTGTACTTACATCTGGACAAGTTACTCTATTATGGCCTTCTTTTTGACAAATGGTGCATTTGGCAGTAGATCCTCTCTTGCTCAATTTGTCAGGTGTAGGCAAAGGCAAATCTGGATTTTGCTGAGCACTTTGCTGTGCAGGTTGTCCTGGATTGTCGATTTTTCTTCTTCTTGCAGACTCTTCTGTCCTTATCCTCTTCTTTCTTAGTCTTCCTGGCATGTTGGACACTAGAGGTGGTTCCAACGACTGGAACCTATGAATACCCCAAAATGCCTTGCCCCTCACTGGTTGAAATTTTGTCCTATAACTAGCCAAATATGCATCCTTGTGATAGTATCATGAAATCAGAATTATTGGGTCCAATTTTGGATGATACAGTGCACAAAAGAGCATGCTAACAAGGGATACTAGTCAAGTCCCATGCTCTACACGTGCATTGTTTCCTATTGATGAACACAGTATGCCTATTGTCACCCTCATTTACCTCGTACCCATCATCACCATTAAAGGCAACCCTACAATGCACGGACAAGTTCCTATTCTCCTCAAACAAAGTAATAGACTTAGGGCTAAAATTTGCCTTCCACTTTTCTGCTAGCCTCTCAGACTCAGCCCACTTAGACATCATCTTTATCCAAATCCCATCTATCATCCTAATTATAGGCAAGTATACATTAAGACTCTCACTGCAATTGTTATCAACAATCCAGGACAAGCACCGAGTACTAAAAAATGCTCTTACCCACGTAGGAGGAGGGTAACTCATAACTGCCTGCGCTGCTTCTTTGCTCAAAGCTCCTAGTGCTCTCAAATTGTCATCAAATTGCTCCTCAAACGTGCTCCATGCGCATGCAAAGAAAGTTTTCTTCAACTGACCACCACGCCATCTCTTGCTCCAATTAGCATAAATGTGTCTTACACACAATCTATGCTCAGCTTCTGGTAATACATCCGACAAAGCTAAATGCAACCCCTACACCATTAGAAGACAATTTATGTTTTATATCATAATTGCAACAGTTGTATGCAAATGACAAATGTGATAAGAAAAAACCTTTTGCATATCAGACATATGGTCACACGCTCCCCATTGTTTAGATCCAATGACTTTTGTAACCACTGGAAAAACCATTTCCAATTTACAGTGTTTTCCTTCTGGGTGATTCCAAATGCTATGGGATACAAGCTATCAATAGCATCTAAGCCAGTCGCTATTAGTATTATACCATTGGCATTTCCCTTCAAAAAGGTCCCATCAACTTCTATAATTGGCCTACACCCTACCTTCCATCCAGTCTTAGCAGCATTAACAAACAAGACACCACGTCAGAATCTAATTACCACCATAGATTTAACAAAATTAAAAAGTCACCAACATAAAATTTAAAAAAAAAAAAAAAGTTACCTTTGAAGCATTAAAGCATATGTAGAGTCTACTGAACACCCTTTTTCCATTGTCTAATGCGTCTTTACTCAGTTCAAGAGAGACATCCGACCCAGGATTGGATGTTTTGAGCTCATGACAATAAGCTTGCAGGTTGTTGAACTCATCAATATAGCTTCCCTCCATCTGCCTCATAATTATTTTCTTTGCCTGTTTGCATTTATAAATGCTTACATGAAGCTTCAACTCATGCTCCATGTCTTTCTTCATGTCAGCAATCTTGTACTGTGGCCTCTCTTGGATCTTCCTCTTGAAATAGTTTGCCATCCACTTCACTGAAGCCCTAGGGTTCTTGAAAACCCTACCACATTTGTGTTCTAGGCAAAGGGTCCTCACTACTAGCCCTAGATTTGTCCCATCTTTTGATGCATATAGCACAAATGGACACCCATCCTCGCATAAAGCCTTTACCCTAAGCGGCTCACTTTTAGCTAGTCTCAACTTCACTCCAAGCTTAATGGCATAGTTATTTATTGCTCCTACCAACTCAGCTTTGTTTGCATATGTATTTCCAAGCATGAAAAATGGCCTATCTTCAGACCCAGTTGCTTCTTCATGGGCTCTCACTTCTACGAAAGGCCCATTAGTATCACTTGGGCCCACTTTATTAAACAAGTCCTCATCCTCAGAATCTTCATCATCATCATCTATGAGCAACTCATCATCTCTTGGGAAAAAATCTTCATCTTCACTATCATCCTCTTCAGTCTTATCACCTTCACTATCACCGTCTTCACTATCATCCTCTTCACTCTTATCACCCTTACTATCATCCTTTTCAGCTTCGTTATCACCCTCACTTATATCTTCCAACCCATCATTTTCTCCATTATCATGACATATTTGACTAACATCACACATATTGGGGTTACTACAAGGTTGCTCATGACTCTTTCCCTTTAACAAATCCCCAGTTCCTTCGTCTACTTCCTTCTGCTTCTCAATTCCTGACTCCACACCTTTACTCACCACTTCAACCCATTCATTTTGTCCATTGTCGTGACAGATTTCAATCCTATCATATATATCGGTGTTATTAGATGCGTTATGACCCCACTTTCCCTCAACCACATCCCCATATTGCTCTTGTATTTCCTTCCGTCTCTCAATCAATTCGGCTTTCAAGGTCTCTAAGAAGCATATTTTTTTATTCCAATCCATCTCATCCCCATTATCGGCATCATCCCCATCATCAGTGTGCCCACTTTCACCACCATCGTCTTCCTCAACACACTTTCCTTTCCCCTTATCTAGTTGGATTTCACCTTCCCTGTTGCCACCCTCTGTACACTTTTCTCTCGTCAACCCAGATGCTAAGATAGAAGCTGCAATCCAATCATGCCCCTCGCGTAGACGCTCTTTTGTCTCTCTCCACTCTTTCTTCCTGTTATTAAACTCACAGAACAAACTACCCAGATAACACCAATATTCGACACCAGATTTGGGACCAACATTGGCACCACCATCGGGACCACCCTTGGGACCACCATTCTCATTATCCGACACCATCACCACCTTAAACTTAAGATTAATTACCAGAAAACTACTAATTAACAAACAATGTAATGAACATAAAACAAAGGACTAATATGAACTTTCACCATCCGGATAAAAAAAGCTTCCAATCACACTTTTTTCATACCAACACTGAAATAGATTCCATTCTTACCTGTCTCTGAAAGAATCTCTACGCTCGTCTCCTCCTTTCCTTACCCTAACACCACTGAGACTTGTAGCCCTCTGATTTCACTCACACTTTAGACTTCGTCCAACCCTAGCACAGCAATTCCTTCTCCCTCGACAGCTAAAACTTCCAGACTCCTTTCGTCTTCCTCCCTTGAATTTTTGTCGTTTTTCCTTCTTCGTTTTTCACTACATTTTACACGTGTCGATCTTGCCTCCATATTTCCCATCCAACTAAATGCCACGTCGTTCGCAGGGATGGTCCTTCAGGCTACACGGTGTCACTTAACATAAAACATTAAGTTTCCGTCTAAATAGGTCCACATTGCTACCTTTTTGTAACTTCCAGGGCTACATTGCACTTAAAAAAACTTCCTAGCAGCCAGAGCTCCTTTGTGGAAACTTTCAGGGCAAAAATGACCTTTATCCCTATATATTGTTCCCTTTTATTTTTAGCTTAAAATTTAAATTCTAATGGCGGATATCTTAGGGCCTATGCTGCTATCTACGGATCAGAGCTGTGGAGGCCCTTTATCATTGGTTGTGTTCATGGTCAACTTGCTCAATCCCAAACAAAGGAAGAAAAATTTTATCTTCTAATTAAAAAAAAAAGTTATGCGATCAAATTTTAAATCTTTTGATATAAATGGTAAATTAAAGAAGTTAAACTAATTTTATACAGGTATAAAAGCCGTGAATGTTTTAAGCTATCCATTACCAGATTTTTCTAATACAATTATATATGCAAGATTTGTTTTTTCCTCCAAACTAATCTATAACTTCAAAAAATGTCATTAAAATTTAAAAATAATAATGCTATTTATTTACTTGAAAAAAAACTAAGAAAAACCATTCTTGAAGTACCTATAGTTTCCTTCAATTCTTAATTTGGTACTTGTAAATTTTTATCTTCATATTAAATCATTTTATTTTATTTTATTAGCACAATTAGTTTCTATACATGGTCTAATAATGCCAATAGATCGAAGTTATAGAGATTAATGGTATTAAAAGATTAAAATTAATTACAATTTGGTAATGACTCATCTAAACTCCAGTTATGCAATGGAATTTGGTACTATTTTAAAAATATATATAATAATGAGCTGCTTCTGAAAACAAGAGTGATGCAAAGAGTAAAGATGTATGGATTTCACTTTCAGGCCAGGAATAAAAAATATTTTTTCCTTTTGAGATCCACTTTTCTTAACCTCTGTTATTTCAAAGATACTTCACAAAATTCTAACTGCATATGATCTAAATTTGACTTGATTAATTTCTAACCCCAAAAGCCAGATGAACATGCATTGAAAATATATACCTATAACATAGATACTTGATAATCTCAAAGAGCACAGCTTTTAGTAGAATGTAAGCTAGAATTTAACCACAAAATAAAAGCTAATCAAATACAAAACATTGTTCATGAGAAGGCCAATGAATCCCTTCCCTTGAGCAAGGCAAAGGAGCAGGTTTGGCTATGAAGGTTGGATATTGCTGCCCAGGCATCATTACTGACAAATCTGATGCATAAGATGCTGAAACCTGTCACAAACATCAGTTATTAAAAAAAGAAAAAAAATTTAGGCACATTTTTTTTTTTTTTAAATATTTGCTACTCAGTTTCAAATTAGCTTGGATTTCTTCAAACTACAAATGAACCAGCCATGATATGAAAGGTTCAAGTCCAAACAGCATCATAGATTGAACAAAGAGATGATGGAATTTCAGAAGTGAAATGCCATGAAGAAACTTACAGTTTGTCTATTTCCGCTTTTCCCGGTTGTTCCTGATTCCAGGGAATCCAGCAAAGACTCTGGTGAAGAGTACTGTGAAGTTGGTTTGAACAGATGTTCAAATATGGCCATTATGAGGAACATTGAGATCAAAATGGCGGTGGCAACAAAACCAAAAGAAATGGCATTCATAGATGTCCCAAAACTTCTCCATGGAGCTTCCTTGTCAACCATTGCTTGTGGTGGACCTGGCTCTGAAGTTGTGTAAATGTTCCATGGCTTTGATCTTTCAGAATTAAAATCGTTCATGGTCAAGCTCTAAGGAAGATTCCCCACTTTTCTTCGGAACCGTTTGATCCAGTTTCTGATTTTGTACAGCCAGCTAAAGATTTAGTGTCTGCAGATAACTGTAAACATGATAAATCTGATCTAGCTACGGCTCCAGTTGTTCACAAGCTCATCTTTCAATTGAAGAGTTGTTCAACCCCTGAAATAAATGATAGCTAAAAGATTAGTTATTTCAGACGCAGAGTCCATAAAAAAACACTGTATTCTGAAGATATCATGAAGAAGACGATGAGTGTTGAAAGTTGAAGCAAAATGAACCTCGGAATCACCAAGGAAATGGTAACTTCCCAGGTGGATGAATCATAATGTGGTCCATGGCCAAAAAACCACATCAAGGTAAAAAGAAGCATCATGATAGAATATTTTCTAGGATTTCTACTTTCGGGAAATCTTATATTTTTTTCCTACGCTTTATCATGAAAGCTCTACTCTGAAGTACCAAAAATCAGTAGGTTTCAAGAAAATCATTCCCTCAGGGTAGAGAAACTACAACATGTGATCTAATCTACGGTTTTAAGCCATATATAACATGTTTTCATATCACATTTCGAAAATGTAGTTTAAACTGCAAAATGTAGCATTTAATCACTGCATCATTACCCATCTACAAGGTGACCAGAGTCAAAAGGGTGGAGAAATCAAAGCCACATATGCTAACTTCACAGATCATAAAACATGAATTGCAAAAGAAGTCATCTGCACTCCATCAATCCAAGTGAAGTAACCATTCTTGGTGGAAAATATGAGGAGTTCAAAGACATAATTGACTGCCAAAAGTACTTGCTTCAATCCAATCTCTGCAAGTACATTTATGCTTAAATGATGATAAATCCCCAGAACAGAAAATTCAAGATAGAGAAAGAGGGTTGATAATTCCAGAAATGCTGTAGAACAAGAAATTGAAATGCTAATGAGATGGAATGGAATGATAATGCAAATGATACAAATGACGGTTATCCTTCTTGACTTCTTGTTATGGTTTGATAAAAATGATACAACTCACAAGACAACAAACTGACCTTAGTGTTCTTCTTTGCGATAATGAATGATTTGGATCAACAAGTAGGCCGGTTTTCCAGTTTCTTATTAACAGCTATCTTCAAAGCAAAGAACACCACACTTCTCTCTAAACGTCACACAAATATGATGCTCACCCCCAGCTAACTTTATACCCAATAGAAAATGTGAAGACAAAGTTATATGATAATCCTATTGGTACGCTTTTCTATTTATGTTTCCATGTCGATGATCCTGATGCCTAACTTATTGAATACTATACCTTGTCTGAAGAAGCAAACTTAAAGAAATAAAAAGAATGGGCCTTGCTGTCTGGAGAGCCAGAACAAGAATTTCCAACAAGGTGCTTTTAAAAGTAGTCGTATTTTAAAGCTGGATTTCATCAAGGTTGTTCTTGGTTCTTCTTAATCCAACCCTTTAAGTCACATGAGTAGTGGCCCTCGGTGGGGACAAGTGCAAGCTATAATTTCCAACCACTCCTATTAGAAATGACAACATTCCTTAGACAAATATGAATCTAATAAGTATTTTGCATCTAAAGGCAACAGTTCTCATTACACGCTATGATGATTTTTATGATTAAAATAAATACACCGAACAAGAGAGAAGTAGATAGATGGATAGGTAGATACCCACGAGTTGGAAACTCAAAGACATGAGGCTCTTCTCTCTTGATGACATTGAGATCTAAAGCTCTTTTTGATGGCACTAATGCTTGATTGATCCCCCTTAAATTCCAATATAACCTTCAAATGTAATCATGAAATATGGTTGCACTATCTTGCACAATCTCATAAAAATCTTCACTGATTGAAAGAAATGAAAAGGAGGTGGAAAAGGCTGCCGTAATATATATGTAAATACTAACTCATACATCTACAAAAAGAGAAAAGAAGGACAAATTATAGTAATGATTATAATAAATAATTAGAGGAAAGTGATAGTGAGTGTGAAAGATGGACTTGTTACAGCTAAGCAGGAGCAGGAGAGCCATGATTCAACAGAGGAAAGGGGAAATGGGTCTATGAGAGGGAAAAAGGAACAAAGCTAGTAAAGAGGTGATTTAGACCACTTTCAAGGCTCATGTTTGGTCCAAAAAACACATGCTGAAAGGGCAAAAAATTCATAGCTTTTGTCAGAAATGCAAGAGCCAATAGGTATTGTGATTTGCAGAGTTTTCATGTGAAACAAAATGCTCAAGGTCACCTTGCCAGCAACATCCCCTCCAAGAGTATTGATGCACACACATTATGATCAATCCAGCCTCATTATATATTCTTAACAACCAAAAACCCCAGGTAATTCAGAAAAAGAATGAAGCAATTATTACCATAAACATGATTAATACACGAGAGACAGAGAGAGAGAGAGAGTGAGAGTGAGAGTGAGAGTGAGAGATTGCCACAAATTCTGATGCATTGAGTGAACATGTTTTGTCAACGAGGCAATCACATCGTTTGAGTGACATGAAAGCTCATCTAAAACAATGTTCCCCGGAAAAGGAGGGGGGGAACCCTAAAACTATGATATAAATATAAAGAAGGGTTTGGGGAAAATGTTGGTGAGAACATCATATTCACCTTAGCAATTGAGAAATCAGTTGGGTTTTGCTGTGAGAAGAAGCATCAATATAATCACAGAGGCAGTGGAAGATGAAGAAGGAGAAAATTTTACTGGGTTCTTATTACTCTTGAAAAGAATGAATTCCTGAGGGCAATTGAGAGAGAGAGAATTACACACAGTGACTGAAAAAGATGAATGTGCCTTCCTGTTCGCCATTTGCATGCAAGACATTTTTTTAAGAAAAAGGACACACACGCAGAGAGAGAGAGAGAGAGTGGTCCCATGACAAGAAAGCGCACTACAAGAAAAATGGGAAGAGAAAATGATACTGGAGAAACATGTATTGCTGTGCATTACTCTACCTTTGCCTTTTCTTTTCAACACAAGTCTCGGCCTTGAGCAACGATGACTTGACTTTTCCCATTAACAATTTCTGCATAATCCAAACATTAACGGTTAAATTGGTTGCAATCATTTCATATTTTTGTTAAGCACAATGTTATAAATCATGAATTTTGTGAAATTAGACTGTGGGACTCCCAGTAAGAAAATAATAATCATGCCAATCTCAAGTCAAAGGATCATAATGCCATATTTCAATGTTTGGGCAATCACTATGAGGCTGAGCCAAAAATTTCACTTGAATAAAGCACTTAAATTTAAAAAAATTAGATGAAAGAAAAATACTCCTCCAGTACTTAATATAAGACCCATTTAACTAATTTGATTAGATTAAGAAAGTTAGGTAAGTTAGTTAATTATAAGAAATATGACACATTTTTTCTAAAATACCATAATCATTTTTTTTAATACCTCATTTTCCTTTTCTACTTGATTATGGTTGAAGGAGTATCCATAGGGGTAATTTAGAGAAAATTGATAAATATGAGAAATGGATCTTATATTTAGGACCAAAACCAACTCACCAATTGGGTCCTATATTAAGGACCGAAGGAGTACTACTCTTTCCGATCCTAAATATAAGACCCATTTTAAAGTGTAAATTACACTACAAAATGAGTCTTCTATTTGAAACCGGAGGAGTATCATACACCAAAATATCATGTTAGATTGGCTAAGTTTTTTCTTTAAATAGAAGAATTTGAAGTATTAACCTTTATTGATACTCTCATCCCATCTTCACCCCTAACCTCAGGTGATAAATTGGTTAAGTTTTAGATAAATCATTTTTTACCCTCTACATATAATAAATAAGCGAATTATGCAATCATTCTTATCATCAAAACTCACGCTCATTTCGAGGCAAAATTAAAATACGGTCATCTTTCAAAAAAAAAAAATTAAAGCATGCTTTACATTAATCTTTATTCTTTTTTTATTTTTGGTTGGATACATTAATCTTTAATCTGATAAAAAATGATTTATGATTATACATATAATATTAATATGTTTTTTCTTCTTTGCTGAAAGCTATACAATATAAAACAAATCTAAATATCCTTTACCTCTTTGAATTGTTTCTGTCACAGAAATCTTACCTTTTGTTTCATTCACGAAAATAAATTAGAAAGGAAATGTCTGGTCCACATTTGGAAAGCCGGTTTCATCTCTAAAAAGCATTTTGTTTAGGCTTTGAATATATATATATATATATATATATGTTGCATCTGAGAGTCACGTTCCATGTCTGCCTTTTTATCTTCTCACTTGGTTCAGTCATGATGAAGCCTCAACTACTAAACCCCTTCCTTGTCATGTGCGTAAATTCTTATTTTATTTCATATAAAATTTAAATAAAATAAAATTTTCCAATAATTTATAGAAAATATTATTTCCTATAATTAATATAAGAGCTTGTTTGACTTTTATTTTAGTTCTAAATATAAGACCTCAATTTATTTTGCGTCTTATATTTATCTATTTTTTTCTAAAATAGTTCTCATAACAATGATAGTTATAGTCAATATACTTTATTAGTAAAAATATTTTAAGAAAGACAACATCTATTTATTATAAATAACTAACTTAACTAGTATTTTTAATCTACTCAAATTAGTCAATTAGCTCTTATAATAAAAATCAGGATGGTATTTTTTATTATTATTACATTTTTTTTAATGAAAGCAATGATAAGAAATAACGGATTCTTCGCATTTGGGAACTAGGGAGCTCAGCAAGGGAAGTAACAAATTATAAGGAAAAAAATGTAATTGGTAATGTTTCTATATTTATATATTTGTACTTCTTTTTTTTAAAGGTCCAGGTCCCAAATAAAAATATCTCTTTTTAATTTATTAGTTCTATATATTTTTATTGCTTCTTTGCTAGATATAAATCCTTACTTTTCACGTTATAAAGTTGTTTGGATTTGATCAACTGGGTTGCTTGATAGGGAAAATAAAAAATAAATAAAATCATGTAATTGTTAGTCTTTCTAAATTTACACAATTTTAAAACTACTTTGTCTTCCCTATAAGCATTGCAAAGCACCAATTCTATGTGTAGAGTAATTTTTTTGGGGGGAAATTAATTGATGTTTATATTAATAGACTAGATTTGTGCATGGTTTGATGAATATAAAAAGTAATTCTCTCAACACATTTTTCCACTAATAACAAAATGTTGAACTTATGGGAAAGTTTGTGAATGAATTAGTGTTAATAGTAATATTGGGCCAATCCAATTCAATGGGCCACGTATTTTGGGCCGGAAATGGGCCTCGTAACTCGGCAAATTGACTAACGGATTGGGCTGAGGAATTTATCAGGCCCGAGCGTAGAACGAATGTCTCAAATTACAGATCCTTCATTTCGCTTTATTTAGCCCAACAGAAAATATTTGTACTTAAAAACTCAACATGAGTTCATTATATATATTTTTCGACACCATGGCTTATGGGATTCAACTATTCATGATATAAAATTTATTAAGTTAACATCATTATATCTTAATTTCATATGTTTTTCAAATTTTAAACATGTCAAAATGATTTATTTTCTATTCCATTGTTGTTGACAATTAGGATGCTATGCTAAGAGGGTGGAGTGTATAAATACTTCAAGTTTGAAAAAAAGACTGAATGTTGACTCAAATAATTTTTCAAAAAAATATGCTCCTCTTTGTCTTAATATAGGATCTAATTATTAGGTTAATTTTTATCCTAAATATAAGATCTATTTCTCATATTTATCTATTTTTTCTAAATTACCTTACGGATACTCCCTCAATCATAATTAAGTAGAACAGGGAAGAGGAAGATATTAAGAAAGATGATTATGGTATTTTAGAAAAGAAAATATGTCATATTTCTTATAATTAACTAACTTACCTAACTTTATTAATCAAATTAAATTAGTTAAATAGGTTTTATATTAAGGAGCGAATGAGTATAAAAAATTTGATACAATAATAATAATCAGAATCAACAATTACAAGTTAGAATCATCTCAAGAGCACCGCCTAACTTGATGAAATCATAATTAAAGCCCTCGATAACTGGAGAATTATTTACTCTGAGACAGCAATGTTATTTTTATATTTTGTGAGACTCCATTCTATTTAGATTTTCTTCCATGGGACCACACAATAATATTTTCAAAAATTTAAAAATGGAAGGAGAAGGAAGACAACCATGATGTAAAGAGAAGGCAGATGGTAACTCCTGATTCCAAGATCTCAACTGTGGCCTAGGAATGTGAATGTGGGACAGAGGCTTGAGGTATATACATTTGACAAGAGGCTTGACAACAAATTGGCGTTTGATCAACGCCGCATCAGGTATGTGTGCACTTCTCTGCAACTTCTTCATATTTGCGTTCAACAAACCCCTTCTTGAGAGGTGTTTGGCAACCTCCAAACCATGATTTCAGAAGTACTTTTTCGTAAAACGAGACAAACTCCTCTATATATTTACTTCGTAAACCGTAAAAACACTTTTGAAACCAAAGTTTGGTTTCTATCCAAACACCCCTTTGGTCTTTCCTGTGCATGGTGAGCACTAGATCTATTCACGTGCATCCGGAGATGTCTTGAAACTTGTGCATACTTACTTGTTAGATCAGTCTTACCTTGACTTTGCACGCTGAGATACTCACTCTGTAAGCTATAGAGTGCATTGTGTAGTCGAACTTTTGCACATGACTAGCCGTACCTAAGCAAAACTAATTGATACTTGCTGTTTCTTTTGCTGAGTTGTTAACTGCATTTTTGACACACTTACTGGGCATGTATGACTCTGATTGGACGTATTGATTACTCTTAGGCTTTAATTAAAGCATGCATCTTGTCTTCCTTTGTTGAGCGATGGATTGGTCTTTGAATAACGATAGCTTCTACTCTTATCCTTCTATGCCCACCAATAATTTTCCAAATCACAGGATCCTTTCCCTGCAGCTCAAACAACCAAGAAGCCTCTTCTATTCTGGGGCTCACCATGACATCTAGTATTTAAAAAATCCATCTGATCGGCTTCTTTAAGCGTCTAACTCTAGGAAAGCACTAACTTGTAATTCAAGAACCAAGAACCACCAGCTTCCGTGGCATGTTGAGCCACTTTCTAGCTTTATCCATCAATAACTAATTTGTGACCTTGTACCGGAAATGGGTTTCTGGGTTTTGGAAGGTACTTCCATGTCTTTTTGAGTTTTGATGATTGATGATGAACCTACTTGGGTGTGTCTCTCCTTTTTTTTTCTTTCCAAAGTATAGGTATCCTTCTATTGGAGGCAATCCTATTCGAGGCACTGTCGGGTACTAAATGTGGGTACCTCTTCCAACGGAGATTCGAATCTTAGTTCACCACGTTGTAAGAGACTAGCACTTTCCGTTAAACTCAACTCCGTTGGTTTGTCTCTCCTTAAATAACAACCACAAATTCATCACCTTCGTGTGTTCAATGGGCCTCATCACCAGGCATTTCCATTGAGAAATTGGGCTGAAGAATTTATCGGACCGAACGATAGGATCAATGTCTTAAATCGCAAATCTCCTAAAAGAAAATATTAGGACTCAACTTTGGCAAGGGAAAAAACAATATATTAGTACTTGAGTTCATTCAATATATAATTTTCTACTATGGTATTCACACACACACACACACACACACACACACATATCTCTTAAATTTATTTTTTTAAAAATTTTAAAAGATGTCAACATGATTTATTTCAA